AGGGAGGTGGGAGGGGGGACCGGGATGGGGAATACATGTAAATCCATGGCTAATTCATTTCAATGTATGACAAAAACCACTGCAATGTTGTAAAGTAATTAGCCTCCAACTAATAAAAATAAATGGAAAAAAAAATAAGTAAAAGCCATCAAGCATTTAATGTAAAAAAAAAAAAATAGGATTGAGTGAACTCTACTTTTTGTCCCACTCCATGATTTCCTCCTGGCTTCAAATTATCCTAGGCAGTCTGGCCCTTTTGGTATATTATTTCTACCAATCTCCTGTCAGCACTGTCAATGACCTCTCTACATTTACAAAGTCACTGACATGATCTCAGTCTCAGTATCTTGTCTGTGTAACAAAAGTGGGATTGGATTAACCTAACCATTCACCTTTCTACATTTCTACATATAGGCTGCTGAGTGCAGATACAGTATGGGACACAACTGTGCAAACTGGCACCGCCTCAGCTTACCACAGTTTTCAAACTCTGCATAGTTTTGGAGTCCTTTTGCCCCCTTTGTTCCCAGGGCAGCCAATTCTCACTATACCTAGCCTATCATCAAAACCTTCTTTCTTCATAACAGCCAAAAACTGGAAACAATTCAAATGTTCATCAGCTGATGAATGGACCAAAAATGTGATATGCCCTTACAACAGACTATTACTTGGCCATAAAAACATATGAATGCCACAAAATGGATGAACCTTGAAAATGTTATGTTAAATGAAAGGTGCAAAAGGCCACATATTATGACTGTATTTACAAGAGATGTCCAAAACAGGCAAATCCACAGAGAAAGTCAATTAGTGGTTGCTAGGAGCTAGGAGCAGGGTAGAATGTGCAGAGACTGCTAAACAGCATAAGGTTTCTTTTAGAGGTGATGAAAATATGTAGAATTACTGACAGACATACAACTCTATGAATATACTAGAACCCACTGAATTGTACACTTTTTTTTTTGAATTTTTTTTTTAATTGTACACTTAAAAAGGTAAACTTTACTGTATGTGAATTATATCTGAGTACAGTTATTACCTTAAAAAAAAAATCAGAATCCTAGCAGTACCTACATGTTATGGTTGACACCTAGCACATAGCACACATTTTATTTCAACAAAACTGCTATTTCAGGGGAAAACAACAACAAAAAAATCTTCTTCTTTAAGAGCTGACCCTAACTGCAACATCACAAAGAAAACTGAGGCTATAAGAAAATTTCCCATTTCTATATCCATGTCTATGCATATATCTATCAATATATGTACACTTACCCTCACCTTCTTTCATCTTAGTCTTTTAAACTTAATTCAATCTCTTTCTCATCTAAGATACTGATTTTTCAGTTAGTCCTCTTTTCTACCTACAACCTACATACTTTTTCTTTTTTGAAAATATATTTATTTACTTTTAACTAAGGGCTTCCCTGGTGGCTCAGACGATTAAGAATCTGCCTACAGTGCGGGAGACCTGAGTTCAGTCCCTGGGTCAGGAAGATCCCCTGGAGGAGGGCATGGCAATCCACTCTAGTATTCTTGCCTGGAGAATCCCCATGGATAGAGGAGCCTGGCAGGCTACAGTTCATGGGGCTGCAAAGAGTCAGACACAACTGAGCGACTAAGCACAGCATTTTTAAATGAAACAAAGATGAATATTTTTAATGTATAACTTGTATTTTAATTGCTCTCCAATTAGTTTCCATCTTTAAAAATAAGACAAAATCCTTGATTCTGAGACCTTCCAGCTACCACCTTTCTTCAATGCAACACCTATTTCCTCAAAAGAAAACTGTTTAAAACTCTATTTCTCCTAGAATATCTTATTATGGAGAGACATCAAAGGTCTCTGAAAATGAAAAATTATCAGCAAGACAAAGCTTTCTCACAAATTTAAAAGGAAAAAAAATTTAATGTTATCACACTAACTGAAAACAAATAGATGGGAATACAGGAACGTCATCTAAAGGAAAAATCTGGAAGACTTGGGAACTAACTATATATGGTAGGATGAGGTGACCAGGTTTTTTCACTCTGATGTCTAGAATGGTGATAACTTAAGAACTGAGAAAATCTAGAAAGAAAACCTGTTTGACAACAGAAGCTCAGCTTCAGATTTTGGATCTGATAAGCTCAAAATGGCCACGGGAGTTTTAACCAGAAATGTTTAGCAGGTAAATATTCAATCTCTGCTTGAAAATGAAGAGAGGTCAGGACTAGAGCTATAGACCCAGGAATCATAATCAGGAAGATCACAACTGAAGCTACAGAACTGCTTAGAATATAATAATATGTGGCAAAGACACCGATTAAGATGCAGCAGCAATGTCTCCATAAATGTCTGTGGCTCCCAATGGAACACCAATTAGAAGCCCTTCCCCTAGAATGCAGGAGTTGCAGTGACATCTTTACAGCACAGAATGGTCAAGAAGATCTGAAGACTGAGCACTGTGCAAGTAGTCTAGGCCAGGACAAAGTAGGAAGCTCTTTCCTAGGGGCTGTAAATCCTCTTTCTCTAAAGGGAAGGCATACAGATTTAAGGATATTACCTGGGGGGTGACAGCTCAGCCAGGCCTCCCCTTCGTCCTTCCTATGAAGAGAAACAAAAACCTAATTAGATTCACTCAATGTCAAAATGGATGTTATTGATGAAGGGGAGAAAGAACATATAATTTCCAGTTTAGCCACAGCACTTACACAAATCAATCTAATACCTTATCCAGGCATAGACAAATTTTATTGGCTGAAGAAATACTTATGGGTTGTGTTTAATGCATAGACCTGTTAGTTAAATGAAGCTCAAGTACTTCATCATGAAACACTTATTAATTGCACAATTGTGGGCAACTTACTTCTTGATTCTGGACTTGTGTTCTCTCAAAGGTGATCCTCAATAAGTGTCAGTGTTCTTCCTATTACACATCTGGTGTTGTAGTAATAAGGTTTATTTTATTTCAGCCCACCTAGTAAGGCACAAGTTTCTTAAATGCAGGAGACTACGTTTCATTCATCTTCACCATTGTTTCCATTTTAAAAACCCATTAGTATAATAGTTGCCATTCATGGCACTGCTGTTGGAGAAGGAAAAGGCAACCCACTCCAGTATTCTTGCCTGGGAAATCCCAAGGACAGAAGAGCGTGGCCGGCTTTAGTCAATGGCAGACACGACTTAGCGGCTAAACACCGCGGTACCGCTGTACTCAATTTGGTGCCTAGCAAAATAACTTGCACAGTATATGATCCATATTTGCTAAATAAATGAATGGTTTGCTGTGCATTCCAATTAAGCTGTTAGCGTCTCGAAAGCAGGAACCACCCCGTAAGTTTAGAGTACACATCTGAACTCCGCCGAGCATCTATCCAAGTCAGAGTCTGGACATGGTAGGGGTTCCACTGTTCCCTGAAAAGACCTGTGAAGTGAAGTTAAAGTCACTCAGTCGTGTCCGACTCTTTGCGACCCCATGGACTATACACAACATGATTAACACACCACTAGGGGTCGGAGAAGGCAATGGCGCCCCACTCCAGTACTCTTGCCTGGAAAATCCCATGGACGGAGGAGCCTGGTAGGCTGCAGTCCATGGGGTCGCGAAGAGTCAGACAGGACTGAGCGACTTCACTTTCACTTTCCACTTTTATGCATTGGAGAAGAAAATGGCAACCCACTCCAGTGTTCTTGCCTGGAGAATCCCAAGGATGGGGTCGCACAGAGTTGGACACGACTGAAGTGACTTAGCAGTAGCAGTAGCAGTAGCAGTAGCAGTAGGGGTCGAGAAGCATGCCAAGACTCTGGTGATGCAGATTGCTGGGACTTTTGGAAATAGCTGAGGACCAATAAGTATTTGCTAAATGACCATCATTACTTGGCCAAGAGTCTTCCTGCCTCTCAGTCTTCCTGTCTTTCTCCAACTCGTTGATCCTATTCTGCCTCTGCCATCACACGACGCATACGTGTTTCCTGGGATTCAGCATAACTCTTCCGAAAATGAAAAACAATGACCATGTGGGTTTGAGACTTCTTTTTCTAGGCCCAGGGTTCCCTCAACAATTGATGAGGCAACCCCTATGGACATCCTGGGTCGGGGGTGGCGCTCCTTAACATAAAGGCAACATCCGCTACCCGCCTCCTATGTCCCACTTCTGGACCTGGATTCACCTGAGAGCCTGGGCCCAGTCGCTCTGAATCCTCAAAGGTGCCGCCATCTTGACCCGCCTCCACCACCCCGCCCCTTCCGCTCTCTCCCGGAAGTGGATTCCCCATAGAGGCTGCGTCGAGAACGAAGGGCGGGATCTACCCCGAAAAGCTGCTAATGAAAATACGCGGTGGATTCTCTTTCTCTTCCCGCCCCTTTGCGCGTGCGCTCCCTGCAGGAAGCTGGTTCCTGACCGGAGGTTTACCGGGTAACTCGGTAGAGTTACAGCTGCCTGCAAAACAGACGCCGCTGTGCTGCAGCGCGCGTTCGAGTCCTGTCTGCCTGTTCGGTGAGCACTGTGTGCCGCGATCTTACGCGGTGAAGCCTAGCGGGCACAGCGCGGGCTCGCGAGTGCGCACGCGTCCTCTCCGGGAGGTGGTCGAGGAGTTTTTAAGTGACTTGGCCGCCTGGATTTTTTCTGCTTACCCATCTTTTCAGTGCCTTCTTAGTCCAGGCTGGCCTTCGCGAACCAACTGCCGACCATCCAGCCTGCCCTGGTCTCTGAGCGAGGGTCTTCCACTTTTTACTCATGGGAGACTGAAGCCAGGTTGGGGTGGGGAAAGAATATGACAGCATTTACTTAAGTCCTTTTGTAGCCCATGCACTTGTCCCTTATTAGCATCTTATTCTTTGCAGTAACTCTGTGAGTTAGATACTACCTTAAGAAGGAAACTAAGGGATTTCCTGTGTGGTCCAGTCGTTAAGATTGCCCTTCCACTGTAGGGGACACCAGTTCGCTTCCTGGTAGGGGAACTAAGATCCCACATGCCAAAATACTAAAAAAAAAAAAAAAAAAAAAAAAAAAAAATGCATGCTAAGGCGTGTGCATAGTAAAACGAGGTGCCAGCATTTGAATCCGAATTTTTTGGCTTAGAATCTAAGGCACTGTTCTTTCCACCATACTGTTTCAAGAGGCTTGCCCTTGCCTTTAAAGAGCTCATAGTATACTTAGAAAGAGGAAACATGTATAGTAATAGGAGTTATCATTTATTGAACTCTGGACGTGCCAGGCTCCTTACGTGCATTATCTCATTTAGTCTTCAGTCTTGTGAGATAGATTTGATCTCTGTTTTTCAAGAGAGATTATAAAGTGTAATTTGCTCAAAGTATCCCAGTGAGTCAGTGACCAAGCTAATTTTCCAATCCAAGTTTGTTTTCAAAGCCCATTTTCTCCCTCCTCCCTTGCCTTCAAAGCAAATGAATTTTGTGTCGGGCTCTAGAGTTCTTGGGCTTTTCTGGTAGCCCAGAATGTAAAGAATCTGCCTGTAATGCAGGAGACCTGGGTTCAATCCCTGGGTTAGGAAGATCCTCTGGAGAAGGAAATGGCAACCTGCTCCAGTATTCTTGCCTGGAGAAATCCATGGACAGAGCAGCCTGGCGGGCTACAGCCCATGGGGTATGAAGAGTCTGGACAGGACTGAGCAATTAACACTTTCACTTACATAGAGTTCTTAAAACCTTTTTGTGACTTCCCCATTGCCCTCTTGACACCTTAACATGCGGTCTTCCTCAGATCAGATACTTTCTCAACTCATCACTTTCATTAATTTTCCTGTTCTCATACTCTATTCTCCAGTCATGTAAAACTTTCAGTTCATCTCATGTTAAATTCTGTCTCAAATCCCCACCCTGCTCTTCCATTGATTAGGGGTATTCTTTGCATCTCTGCCCTGCCCTTTTCATCTTTCAAGTCTCAGTTTAGAAATCACTGTCTGGAAAAATTATTAAAATATCTAAAAAAGAAAAAATCACTTTCTGCAAGAAGGCCTCCCTGCCTGTTTGTCCCCTTGTTTGGCTTAGGTAGTCTCCACTGTCTTCCCAGTTTTAGCTGTTTATACACACTGTGCACAAGTAAATAGCCTTTTAACTTACCTAAATTATAAACTCTATGAAGGCGGGAAGTGTATCTGCCTTGGTCACTCTTGTATCCTCAACTCTAGCACAGAGCTTGGTACATGATAGATACTCAGTGATAATTTGTTAAATGAATCAGAGACCCAGGAAAGGCATTAAGGATTCTTAGCTTATTTATAGCCTGTCATGGTTAAATTTGTACAAAGGCTGAGTCATTTATCTTCAAACCTCTCTTAAATTCCTTCTATATGCTACATTGTGCTGGGTGCTCTGAAGCAGGTGATCATGGAAAGGCAATGTGGGCAAGTGCACCTCACATTAAGTATTCTCACACCTTACAAACTTAGTTCTTGCCCTGTACCTCGTATGCTCTCTGTTCTCCACACAACTCTCCATTCTCCAAAATGTCAAACCCTACCCATATGTGTTTACTCTCTCAAGTACTAAACTTTGTTTTTCTCCAGCCATAGAATAAGGCTAATTGGAGAAAAAATTTCTTCTCCAATAGGAGAAAAGAGATAACTTTCCCATAAATGTGACATTTCACCTAATTCCAATTCTATTAGAATCCATCTGAGCTTATTAGTTCTGTGCTGAGCATTCTTACATACTTTATCTCATTCTGTTCAGTTGAGACCATTTTGCAAGCCTAGTGCTGGGGGTACCAGGATGAATCAGGCCCAGTATTTGTCCTCAAATAGCTCACAATCTCAAAGGGAGACATAGGCATAAATAGGCTATAACAGTGCAGTGGTCAGTGTTGTTTATAACAGAGAAACATATATAATCATGTCCCTCCTCTAACCTTGCTCCTGTTGATATTCTAGAGACTCTGGAAGATGTCAGCCCAAGGCCATGCCTGGTCCCGACAGGTGAAGAAGGAGGATGAAGAAGAGGACCCGCTGGACCAGCTCATCTCCCGCTCAGGCTGTGCCGCTTCCCACTATGCAGTGCAGGAGTGCATGGCCCAGCACCAGGACTGGAGGCAGTGCCAGCCACAGGTGCAGGCCTTCCGGGACTGCATGAGTGCACAGCAGGCGAGGCGGCGGGAGGAGCTGCAGAGGCTGAAGGAGCAAAGCAGCGCCCACCGCTGAGACCCCAAACCACCTATCCCCAGAGGATGGCCCTGCAGAAACTAGCACCCAGACAGATCATGGGAGAAAGAAATCCTGAACAGTGGAAGTGTGGGCCAAGAACTGTAAGACTTGGGGATAGTGTTTGGGCCTGAGGCTGAGAGCCAGGCAGCCGTGGTTTTGGACATGAGCTGTCATATTGAGATCCCACGCATCCTCACCCATATTGTGTCACCAATATTAAATATTGACCAGTATTTGCCATGTAAAACAGAGTGGGGTTAAGGGATGCTCTCCTATGCTACATCTTGGGTCAGTGTGCCAAGTACTGTGCTGATTACATGGACATTTAATTTCAAAGTAGATTCACAATCTGAAGGTAAATTGGTTACCCTTAATCATTTCTTCATTCGGTCATAGGTTCTAAAGCAGCCAGGTTTATGAGACCTCATGTGCCAGGCACTGTGTAGGAAAACTGATGTGATGCAAATATATCTCCCTTCATATTGCTTTACTCTGGTTTGAGAGAGAAACAGAACACTAGAACAACTAATTTCTGATAGTGATACAAATGACTTTATCTTTCATCAACTGTTCTGGATATTTCAGTCAGTCTAATGAAGAAGGCAAATGGGAAAACAAATAATAAGTTCCTCTCATATGTCAGACTGTTGTATTCACAGATACAGAGTCTGATTTGAACATGCTCCCAACCAAAGAAATACATAATGTTGACTTGATGTTTAAAAAGTAATTTAACATAACATACAGATTTTCAGTTTTTGACAAGTTTGGAGAATCTGTCAACATGGAGCTTATATTTCTACTTTAACAGCAATTTGCTGGAGCTGAATGAATGATTCTTTTAGGTGGATGTGTACTGCAGCTCCCAACAGTTGCCATTGCTTTCCATTTTTCTTCCATAGAAGTGCATTACCCATTCTATTATTTTGTCTCTGACATTTGGGAGTGGGAAGGGAGTTGAGAGAGTGACCATTGCTATAGAACTGGAATGCAAAGGGACATATGCTCTTATCATCAGAAACATTTCTTGAGCATATATATATATTAGAAGCACAAATCTGAAATAGAATAGGCCCTAAAACTACTTTGAGCCTTTCTGTTGGTATTTTGGAAGGAGAAAAAGAGAAAAGAGGAGAAGTTAAGAGGGATTCAAGTTCAAAGAACCATAAAATCTTATTTCAAGCAGAAAGAGGTGACTGGATGTGTGTAAAAGGATGAATGAATCTGTTGGGCCATGTGTGCTGTGCTGTGGGTCATCAGAGGTAGCAGTGTGAACTACATCTGTCAGCAAGAATCTCAAAGAGAAGAGAGTTGACACTGTTAAAGACGAAGTAAACATTACATAATTGTAATATATATAGCAGAAAGGATTACAATCTGCAACAAATAAAAAGTACCTAGAGGGATTTCCCTGGTGGTCCAGTGGTCAAGACACCACGATTCCGTTGCAGGGACACGGATTTGATCCCTGGTCAGGGAACTAAGATGCTGCATGCCACTTGGGACAGGCAAAACAAACAAACAAAAAATGTACTTGGAAATCAGTAAGAAAAAGCAAATAGCCCAACTGAAAAGTGAACAAAGTTAACTATGCCCCCAAAATATAGAAAAATGTTAATATATTCTACATCACTTATAATCAGAGAAATACAAATTTTAAAAACAAAAGTACAATTAGGTCATCCTGTTGACAAAAAAGTATAATCACCAATATTCTTGGGGATGGAGAGAGACACATTCACACTGTTGTAGGGATCATAAATTAGTAAAGTTTTTTCAGGGCAATTTGGTGAGATCTGCAAATATTTTAAATATTTAAAAGCAATTCCTCTTTTAGGAATCCTCTTAAACATCTTATAAAATGTGTACACTATTATTTTCATTGCAGCATGTGTTTAATAGTGAATAAATGGTCACGATATGAAGTTCCATCAGTGAGGACTATTTGCTTATACAAACAGTACAAAAGAAACATACCTATTTATTAATTTGTATTATTAAAATAGAAATAATAGGTCATGGGGGGCAGGGAATTCTAACAGAGAGAAAGAGTAGGAGAACCGTCTCAGCAGGAGGAATGGCTTTCACACCAGCTAAGTGGATGGAACAGGTTTGGAAGGATTCCAGTCTAACACAGAACCAACACTGGAAGGGTCACAGAATGTGTTTGGGCAAAGAGGCCCCTATTGACACCCAAGACTGTTTCCTTAAGTATAATAAATGGGGATAATTCCTATTTAATAGGCACACTAGGAGAATTAAATGCAGGGGAATATGTAAATACCTGGTAATAAAAGTTATTGAACTATTATAACTAATATACATGGAGCATTTAACCCTGGCTATCTGATTCCAGAGTCTGTGCTCTCAGTCCCTATGATATGCTGCTTTCAGTCCCACTATGCCACTTACTAGATTTGGGGTTAGTATGGTTTGGAGCAAATTACTTAACATCTCAGGATCTGTTTTTTCTTCTGTAAAAATGCAGTAAGGAATACCTTCCTCAAAGGCATCAAAGCTAATAAATGTAGATCTTCTCCATAGGGTTGTTGGAAGAATGAGTTAATATTGATAGAGAGCTTAAAAATAGCATCTGGCACATAGTAAACCTTCACTAAATGTTAGCTATTATCATCACTATTGTGTGCTGGTCACTGTCCTGAGTTACATACCTCATTTAATCTTTATAACACTACTAACTCCCCTTTACAGAGGAGGAAGTAAAAGGCAGATTGCAGATCAGACCCCATGTGTGTCTTAAGCCTATGTTATTCTCCACTCTGCTCTCTCACAAGCATCTCGTGCCTAGCACAGTGCATAACAGTAAGTAACCATACTTACTGTGTAAATACTACTTTGCTTTTCCTTAGTGCTTTATAAAAAAGGAAATTAACCAGTGCAAGTTGCCCACAGTGTTCTAGATTAGTATGGTGTTTTCAGTCTCTCAGTTCTGCAACCCACAGCCATGGAGCTGGAGTTTAGGGTGGTCCATGCCTGTCTGTACACTCTATACCTACCTCTGCAGAGAGGCTCAGTGCTACGGATGAGCAGAGAGACCTTTTGGCTGGGTGCCACCGTTGGCTAGGCCTAAGGCAGACTCATGATTTGGCTCTTCCTGCAAGGTCCTTGGCTGGGGACGTGGCCAGTGCTCAGTACAAAGGTGCACTGCGAAGTGTTCTACTAGATGAGTAATCAGATACTCCTCCCACTTTCCTCCCTCAGGTAAAGTTGCCAGACCAAGTCCTGGGCTGCTGACTTTAGAAATCCAAGGAGAACTGGAGGGAGTCCAGGTTGAAACCCTGTACTTTCCCCCCTGTTTGGAAGGGTAGGGCTCCCCGCTCTGCTCCAGCAGGGACTTGAAGCAGGCAGAGGAAGCAGGAGTGGGGGATTCCTTGCTTTGCTAGCAGTTATCTTCTGAAGAGTTTTCATTCCTCAGGGCCTGAGTGTCTTGCAGAGCCTGGCTACTCTGTCTCAACGTGAAGCTGATTCTCTAAATCTGAAATATCTGAGAATGAAAGTTACTCCAAGGGGAATATAAGAACTAAATGAACCATTTCAAATTCTCCAGGGAGATGGGACATTTGAAGACAAAAATGGCACAGAGAGATCAAAGTGCAGATTGAACGAGTACGAGACACATTGGCTGTTTCTACCTGTTAGTGCCTTACCAGGTTCCAGACATGCCCAGTGCATGCTCAGAGACCTTTCCACCCCTGGATATACTTTACATCCTAGAACAGTGAGGACTGGGGTCTGTGAGTATTGTACCAGTGTCTGAATGCCCAGAATATCCAGATTCCATTTCTTTCTCTGCAACTAAAAACACCCTTTCAGAATCCACAGCTGGCTTGATGGTGGAGTAAAGCATCCTCAGCCAGAAGAAAAGGACTAACATATGAAGCTGAGGAATCCACTGCCTTCATGAGGAAAACTGCCCATTTAACCTGGGCATTCTGTCCTTATATATGGACTTTAGAAAGATGGTAACGATAAACCTATGTGCAAAACAGAAAAAGAGACTCAGATGAATAGAACAGACTTGTGGACTCTGGGAGAAGGCGAGGGTGGGATGTTTCAAGAGAACAGCATTGAAACATGTATATTATCTAGGGTGAAACAGATCACCAGCCCAGGTTGGGTGCA